TTTGAAAGAGTTTCARATAATTACAGGACTAAACTGTGAAKCTTATCMTGTTGATGTTAATGTGGAGGATGATCCTCTGTTTAGGACACGACTTGGGTTGATGGAAAACAGAGGACCATCTTACAGTTTAATTGAAGAAAAAATCATGAATTGCAAGGATTGGAACAGTAGAGATAGGATTAGACTGGTCTATTTATTTTTGGTATGTCGATTTTTGCTAGCTCGTCATCCGRGGACAGAAATAGTTGCAGAAGCAGCCTTATTAGTTCTTAACCGTGAAAAGTTTGAAGCATATCCATGGGGAAGAGTAGCCTTCCAACATCTAATTGAATCAATCGTTCAAGCTAAGCCGGATTTGAGCAACGACTCATATTCTGTCAACGGCTTTGTCCAAGTATTGCAGGTGTGGGCGTATGAAGCTATTCCTGCGATTGGTAAGAAATGTGGAAACCCAAGGAAAGATATGATGGAGTTTCCACCACTCTGGAGATGGAAGGGATCGAGAAAAAGATGTAAATTTGATCTTCCTCAATACAGAGAAGCGGTATGTTTTACGTTCATCTTTTCATTTGTAGTCAAGTCTCTAGTTTGATTGCTTGCTTTCTTATTAGTCAACATGGTTTTGATTGTGCAATAGTGGACAAGATGAATACTAATTTGTTTAGAGTATTTTTTTTACAGGTTTTCGTCAAAGGTGTTATGAAAAATGTTATGGAGGATTTATGGGTTAATGAAGTGCAAGATGAGGAGGTAGATAGTATGTTGTTGCTTATATCTGGAAGCTCGGATCAAACCTTTGAGAAACATTTTTGGGAAGATAAAGGACTGATATATGGAGAAGATGAGCAAATAAACAATGGAGAAGGTATGTCTATGAAAAAGAAACATATATCAAAAGTGACAGCTGGCAACAACCATGACGTCCTGAAGACATACTTTGCATCTACAATCGAGCWAATGGCAGAGAAGCTACAAAAAGAGATCTCTACCCACGTAGATGGTGCTGTTAAGAAGATGGAATCAAGAATGGACAACATTGAAGAAGGTCTCAAAGAAATTCAAGAACTAAGTAAGAATATTCTTGATGGAAGGATGATGAAACTC